GAGACTATCAGAAAATCAGTTATATGAGATACATTTAGTCTATACCGTTCAAGGCGATCAAAGGGCAGATAGTTGAATTTTCCCACGATGAAATGAGAGGAGCTGACGCGTTTATTAAATTTCACATGGTCCTGCTTTCCCTAAAGGTGTTCTCATCCAGGCCGGAGTGGAATACCGTTTCAACCCCTTCCAGCTCTCATCAACACCCCCAGCGGGATTCGAACCATGAATGTACAGCATGTAATCTCGGCACAATGAATTCCACGTCACATTGCCAAGAGGGCCTTTGGGTCACGGGGCAGATGTCATTTTCAAGAAAAGCCAGGCATTTTTCATTATCACATTCTTTGATTGGATTGTCGATCAAGAACATTTATGTTTGTTATGACAATCGACAAAAGATCGTATCGGATTTCGGTACCTTACACAAAATAGAGTTAATATATCTCATGTGACTGATTTAGTGGTAGTCTCTAAACCTTACCATTTAAAGAAAAAATAAAAAAATGTAGTCGATTGTGATAGCAAATGTACCTTTGCTTCATGGGCAATCTCACTAAAAAAAATGTGATATGAGAAAGTGCCTGCTCTTCCTTGAAATTATCATCTGCCCTTTACCAAAGGACACTCATGACAGTCGAGATTACACGATCCACTGTCATGGTTCGAGTTCCGATGGATGTAATTATAAGACCTGGGAGAGGTCGAAACTGCAGACCCTTCCAGCCGGAATGAAAACACGTTTTGGGAAAACAGGGCTGTGTGAAATCCAATGAATTTGGTAAAATTCAACTTCCCCTTCCTTCATCATCTTAAACGAAACAGCGTGAATGCATCTCATAAAACTGCGAATTGCTTGTGCTTTGTTGTTGCTGTCTCTACTGAATGCACCTGACTGAACGACCCTATCAATATCTTATTTTCACACTGAACTGCTGCTCCCTTTTGAAGAAGATGCCTTTCTAAAAACCACCGATTAACTGCATCTTCTTCGCCACGACAAGAGGAATTGTAAGAAAAATGTTAAAAACACCAATTATGTGTCGAGTTAGCAAAATTGGTAACTGGCACTACTGTTAAAGTGGACAACAGTAGTATTTTGGTGATAGTTGCTAAGACCGTTTATGCCACACAGGTTGAGGCCTCGAAGAAAGTGGGTGCAATCGGACCAAATGGGGAGCAAAGACGGGAGGGGGCATGGGCATGGGCATGGGCATGGGAATGGTACCATTGTGTAAGATGCAATTACTCACTCGTCCACCGCGTTCTCCTTCTCCTGTTTCATCGCCAGCATCTTTTTCTTGATGTGCTCCATCGTGGAAGGAACTGCGAATCTTCCTGAAAGGCTCGAATATGCCTCAGTCGAGGAGCCGTGAAAAGTGGTATCTGCTAGACTGGCCGGCCACACTCACAAATTGTACAGGCTCGGATAATCCACCGTTCGTTAGTTTCCTTTTTGGCCCGGCAAGTCGATGTACCTTGCGTCTGATTGGCGCAAATCCGGGCTTAGGGCTGATCGAGACGAGAGTGTGGATGCACCTCGACTGGGCATCTGTATCGTTCAATCGGTTCGTCTGATTGGTCCGACAAAGTGTGCCGGGAGGCTGGGGCGAACTGGGACAAAACGTTTGGACCAGGCTGCCTTGACGACCAGCCAAGGGTATGGACGTACGGCTGGAGGCACTGGGACACCACGAGACAGACCAGAACACACCTATGCACGCACACATACACACAAATATATACAGACGCCCAGAAGGCCCGAACACCCAACTGCAGCCATGGACAGAGTGGAAAGCACGTCACAATCAGCCAGTCAATGGCCGGGAGGTTGTAACTAGGGTAGGGGGGTCTTAAGCTGTACCATCTGTAAAGGTCTCTCCTGCTTCCCAGCCTGGCTGATTGCCGCATTCCAATCTCTGCCCCCGCCCGGGCAAAAGCCGAATTCGAGTGGTTCTACAACCAGAGGGCAGTCGATCTCTCCTAGCACCAAATGCCCAAAAGTCGGCATGCATATGTGCGTGTGTGCGTAGGGGCAGCTTGATGGTGCAGTCGCGCACGCACAAGTAGTGCATGCACGAGTAGTAGGGCGTGGGTAGCCGAAAAGAGGCACATTCGTAAGGACAACAAATTGTGCACAGGCGAGACCGGCTGTATCGATCGATTCAATTGGCTGCGGCCTCCTGATTGGTGGAGCCGACGACGCACGGTTTGACGCCTTCGATCTATCCAACTGGTCACATTCAAAGCTCTCGAGTGCAACGGCATCTGTTCAGTTGGGCTGGGCGGAAGTTTTTCATCCGTAACAGGCTTCTGACCAGAGAACGTTACATTAAATGCATCTTTTCGGTGAGTCTTCCAGTCAAGATCAGTCGTGGAATGCATAGTCCTTTAAAGAAGCCGCTGCCAAGGCAGACGTATGAGAGGATGGCTGCAAAAAGATAGCGCTTTTGGCCCTCAACCGCTTTCTGGGCCTACTTAAATCGTTGCTTTCATTGTCATCAAGCGGTATCTCAGCTAGCAAGTGTGCAAAGCACGTGTCCACATGGTAGACCCATTGTTGACTAGTTTAATACACCTAATGCCCCGTGTTTGCTGAAAGAAAAGCTCAGATGTCATCGAAACTTGCCTACATCCTAATTAAGTCAGTAGAGTATTATATTCGTTAATTTGCTCATCTGTTTCTCTACACCTTGCTCAAACTACTAAAAAACTCCAATCG